ACATTGACAGAATGTTAATGTGTACAGTGTTTATATAGTTTACATGACTATACATTTTGTTTGATTCATATTTCATTCACTTCATCTAACATGCTAATGTAATAACTAATATTTAACATCACACAAACTACAATTCTAACGCTAAACATTATTACACGTATTATAATTTCCACCCCTTGCGGGTGAACCTCTTAAATCCCTAACACATCTCCTTTTTGACTCTTCATCACACGTTGTCCATTTGGCAGATGAGCCGTTCCTTCCTTGATCCCCCCCCATCCCCTCCTCCCTTTCAGCTGCTGCACTTCTGCTGCCGTCTGTCTCACTTCACACCCACCTTAAGCCGCACTATGTGCCCCTCTGCAATTTGCACACTTGATCCCTATTTCCTCCTGACACGCTGTTGGCCAGTTCCTTACTGCCAGAGCTCCCGATTGGTCCCCGTAAAGTAAATGAGCCTCTGCAGGTGCAGGAAATCATTGAGTGCAATCTACTGAAAGATCATATAAAGCGAACGAAAGTGATCAAAAAGCCTGGTTGGGGAGATCTGGAAGGATTGAGCGAAACAACTTCTCTCGTTCTGGTAGATTCATTTGTCAGATCACAGGTCAAGTATAAGCGCTGCGTTTGCAAAGGCAAGATCAGTTCTGTCGGCAAGCAGGCCGGAAGAACAACTGACTAACATCAAGAAGAACATTATGTTTTATTTTTCTTGTTAGATATAAACGGAAAGATTTCTCTTGGCCCTAAACTGGCGTTGAGGAGGAGCAGGTCCTCTCGCCACAACACAAGATCCAATCACATGCAATGTGTGGTCTTCTAACATAACGTGAACATAAGGAACAAAGCGTGAGTGTTGTATGGTGCTTGGTGTGTCTCTAAATCTCATCCTCATCAGACCTGTGTCTGCCTGGTTGGCACTTTCTGCTTTTCCTCTGACCTTGGACTCCTCAAGACAGTGACTCCCTAAATGAGCACTATGAAAACGTTTTTGATTATCACGGCTTAAAAATAGTGTCCAATATACGCTTGGTAAAATGGTAGGTTATAAAAACATGCATATAATATAAAAAAAACATGGTAAAATCAATAAAACAAACCATTGCCATACATATAATAAAACAATGATTCACAGCAACAACCCAATCTACACAGCGATATGGCCTGATGTCCTCCTGATGACAACTGTAAGTGTCTCTTTTATCAAGTGACCTCCGTTATTTCCTTCTTTCTTGCTGATGTTTCCTGCGTATGACGAGGCTGTTTCTGCCGAACACAATTTCTGGACTTTCATGGTCAAACTGGATATTTCTTTTATATTATCAGTATTATCAGTATCTTTCTCCACATGAGGTCTCCACTGAGAGCTCAATTGGGTCAAGGGGTCAAAGGTGAACAGAAGAGGACCACAGAGACCAGAGACCTATACTACTGCATCAACCAAGTGTTATTGTGGTTATTTTCAAGCGATTAGTTAGTGTAGTTTTATTGAGGTAGGAAATGCGACAGGAGGTCACAAGACACATTTTTCTTTTTTTTATATAAAAAGACAAATTCAACCACAAAGTGGCAGCTTGAATCAACTTATTGGCCCTTTCATCTGCTCCTCTTTGTGTTTTAATAGCTAAACATTAGGTATCACATTGGCTGTATAGTCTACAGTTATAATGTATCACAGTATATATATGTTTATATAAAATGTTATTAAAAATGTATGAATGCAAAATTGTAACTAGCACCACATTTATCATTTTTCCACCAGTTGGACAAAAGACTTTTAGTTGTTGTTAATCATTCACGTACACTACCAATGGTGGTGGAGCTGCCAGACGCTGGACCAACCTTTGGGGAAAAGGGTCCTGAGATTAAAGCACACTGTGACTTGTGGACTGAGGGAGCGGGTCGGACCACCTGCTGGGAACTACAACCAGTATCAGTGGAATACTTTAATGTCAATTATTTTACAGTGCATCTATATCAAATTGCCTCATGAGAGTTGCTGTATATCTGTATCCTGATTAGCATCAGCAAGATGACAGAAAGCCTATTGGATCAAGATGGATGTTGGAAGGCAAACAATCATGACAAATTAAAAAATATTTGACTATGTTGATGACATGTTTGCTACTAAACTCTCTCATTGCAAAATTCAGTTGCAATGTTTGGATATTAAATAAAATGAGCAAACGAAACTTGCGTTTTCATCCTCTATCAGTGAAGCATCACCTCTCTACTCCCCCCTTCTTTCCCAGGATGCACCTGCAGGCCTCCTCTTCTTATTCATAGCTCCATGTAAATGAGGAGGTCAAGTCTCAGCACACAAGAGGTAACTGTATTTGACTTCTGACGAGGTTTGTTAATATCATTTGACCTCTTATAGTTTAGAGTCTCTGCTGGGTGCAGAGCTAAATATTATATCTAGTTATGTTAGTTAGACGCTAAAAATATACAAAATTGAATGTTTGCCATGAACTTTAATCAATAGAGACACACTAGGCCCCAACTGTATTAATACAAAACTGCAGGTAATCTTTTCAGAAGCAAACCTTTTCAAGGCGACTCTTATTTTACTCTTAAAGAAAAGAAATTTACACAATTGGATGTATGAAATTAATTCCGATCAATTTGAAGTGTATTACTACAAAACTGCAGGAAATGTTTTCAGATCACTTCTTTGCAAAGGCAGTGAGGGGATTAACCTCCACTGATAATAATGCTGACGAATAACACAACTGTGAGAAACATGCAGGTTGAAGCTAAGCTCCTCCCCCTGTCAGTCACTCCCAGCTTCAGTGTCGTATTAAATGTCTCCCCCAGCACCTCCTCTCCTCATCCTCCAAAGCCTCTAATCTGGCAGCAGTCAGGTCTCTTTCCAAGTCACAAGGCCATTCTCATCCCACACTGACACCATGCTGGGGACCCTCTGCACTCTCATCACTGCTCTCACATGTGAGGAGGCTGACTTCCTGCAGCTTGGACTTCATGTTGGACTCATCAGTGTGTGTGTTTCTCTTGACTCCATGTCGTCTTGTTGTTTCCAGGTGTGAGTGGTGTGACGGTGGTGACACAGAAGCCTGTTGTAGCCGTGACGACAGGAGAGACAGTCTCCATAGACTGTAACCTCGGGACTGTTACTGACAGTGCTGCTCGCTGGTATAAACAGATTCCAGGAGGAGTTCCTCAGTATGTGTTACGTTTTTATCACGGCTACAGCGCTCCAACATATGGCACTGGTTTCTCATCTCCAAAGTTCACATCCACTCATCAGTCAACTTCAGATTATCGTTTCACCATAAAGAACCTTGAGGAGGGAGACTCAGCCGTCTATTACTGTAACACATGGGACAACTCTGTTAAAGAGTCCGTATCACAGTGATTTACACTGTGACAAAAACCTCTTCACTGAGTACTTCTGCTTTTTGAGACGCTGACACATTTTGAGTGAAGACATCAGTCAATTTCTGTAACTTATATTTCTCATAATTACATTTATTTATTTAATTCTGAAATCTTACTTAGTGGTAGTTATTAATAGTTTGCCACATTTACACTCTAACAAACAGAAGGAGATGAGCTCACATGTAAATGATAATGACATAAAGACATGTTATAATTAATTGCACCTTGTCTCTTGAAGAATAACTGTTAACATTATATAATAATGTCTCTTATTAATGGAACACACGGCATGTAAAGTAAACACTGGACTCAGCTTACGATCTCAGCTGATCCCCATGAGTCCCACAGGGTTCGGTTCTTGGACCCCAATTATCCAAATAATTGTGTTGGAGTCATCCTCCATGACAACAACGATGCTTAGAACTTTCATACAGATTCTTACTAAGAGTAAGTACATGGATTGGTGAAATTATCTGTTCTTCAATAAAAAAACGAATAGAAATCAGTGTTTACGTCAACGAGGACAAACAAATGACAATAACATTGACTCTAAAACTATGAACCCACTGAATACTGAATAAAAAATACAATTATTTAATTAAAGTAATTCCATAACTGGATATAATACTCAAATGACATTAGCAGACTTACAAAAACAACAAACACGTCTTTTTGATCAACAGAATCCATGAAAAGTGTTCATGTGACTCACACACGATGTGTGTTTATGTGTAACAAGTGAATCAAGTGTTTAAGCTCCTCCTCACTGTCTTTATAAGCCTCAGTGTTTCTTCTCCTCACACTCCCGCCCTGCTCACCTCTCAGCTGGACTGTAAGGAACGTTTACAGCTCACACTGACAACATGCTGGGGATCCTCTGCACTCTGCTCACTGCTCTCACATGTAAGATATTCATCCATTCATTTCATGCTCCATGTTTTCATGCACAAACCTTTCCCCTGACTTTTCTCTGTGTGTTGACAGATGTTGATGCAGCGATAGTGCTGACTCAGACGCCTGCTGTCCACTCAGTTCCTACAGGACAAGAGGTTGTCCTCAACTACAACATTCAGAGATATGATGGAAATTATGTGTCATGGTATAAACAGGTTCCTGGTGAAGCTCCTCAGTATGTTCTCAGTTTTGACCATGGGAACAATGCTCTCGACTTTGGATCAGGATTCTCTTCAGACCGGTTCAACTCTAAATCCTCTTCAAGCACAGAATACCAGTTCATGATAAAGCGTTCAGAGACAGGAGACTCTGCTCAGTATTACTGTCAGACATGGGATGACTCTGCTGATGAAGCTGTATCACAGTGGTTCACACTGTGACAAAAACCTCCATCGGAGACCTGCTGAAGATTTATTGATTCTCAGCTAAATCAGACACATCAAATAAGGGAAACTGCTTTAAAACATTGAAGGACAACAAATCAATTCCTGTGAAGAGACAATTCAGTCTGGAGCAAATCAAACTGATGAAGTTAGTGAGATGTTGACAATGAAAGTTGGTCTCAACAGGATCTTTCAGTTCCACTCCGTCATCAGAGCGAGTCGAGAGGTTTTTGTACAGCCATGTGTACCAACTGAATCACTGTGGTATTCGGACAAGGAACCAAGCTGATTGTGACAAGTAAGTACTTTAAATCTATTCTTAAAACGTAAGTGATTCTTTTGTTTCTACTTCATTTTGACAGATATTTGTGTAATACAGTTTTATTTTATTTCTTACACTTTTTTAAGAAATTTAACATGTTGGAATTTTGTTCATCTACTTTGACAGCAAGCTGTTTTTACTATATTGATTTCTGCTACTCAATGAAAACTATTTAAAAACATTTTTAGTAGTGCAACCTCATACTTTAGAATTATCAGCGTTAAAGTAGGAATATTAAATTGCCGAGCTACTAATCTTTTTAAATGAACGGCACGTCTTCAATTTACCTTTATTATTCAGTTTTAACACCACAATTGCTGAATTTTGAAAACTTAAAACTTTCAAAGTTTTGCTTTGATAGCAAGATAAAATAAAACAAAGTCAGCTCTGTTTCACTGTATTCCCACAGCAACAAAAGAGATTAAGATATATATAAGACAAAGTACAAATATAACTTTATTTAACATGAACAATATAGAACATCTCTATGTATTACCAAGTTTGTGAATGATAGACTTTGCGCTGATGGTTTGTTAATGTTACGTTTTTTTAAATGCTTAATTTGTTTAGTGATGATTTTGATCTCAACTTACTAACAGATTCCTTTTGCCGCCATGATTTGCATCAATAACTCCACTTCCCTTCATTTAAAGAATGCCTTTTGTGTGTTTCAGGCTCCAGCCTCCGTCCTCCCGTCCTCACTGTCTTTCCTCCGTCCAGTGCTGAGCTGCAGTCCAACAAAGCCTCTTTGGTCTGTCTGTCCAGTCAGTCTGGGCCTTTTGCAGATGTGACCTGGATGTCTGGAGGGAGTCCAGTGGTCACTGGGATCTCTACCAGCACCGCTGTTAAGCAACCTGATCAGACGTTCCACATCAGCAGCTATCTGGCCATCCAGGCGTCAGACTGGAACATGGATAAGGTTTACACATGTAAAGTGTCTTTGGGCTCCCAGACTGCAGAGAAAAACATCAAGAAGTCTGAGTGCCTCACTGAACAACAGTAGAGGAGCAGAAGGACCATTTAACATCTGCTTCTTCCCTCTTTGTGCTGTTTATTCATCACGAGCGTTACATGTTAGAACATGTGTCTCCACGCTTGTAGTACATGTTGTTGACCGTTAGGTAGAGGTGTTGTATCCGCTTTGCAAACGGTAAAATGTAGTAAAACCTTTTGAATAAAAAGCATTTTGTAAAACAACATATTTATTGTCTCTTTATCACTGACAGTTCAAGAAAAAGCAGGAGATTTGTAGATCACTTTTTGTCTCACTTCAAGTTTTTGCCTTCTCAACAACGTTTTGTGAAAACTTGGTCCTACTCTGTAAAAGTATATTAAGACTTTTATTGCTTTAAAGCCGACTATGTTTATTAATCTGGTCTAGTCGCTTGCAGTCGTTTGATCAAATAAAAGACAACTACAGTTTATTTTTTAAAAGAAAAGCTGACAGAGTAATCCAGAACAACAAAACCTGCAGCGACAGATTTTTCACAAAATGCTTTAATCAACACAATTCACACACAATACATTTAAGCTGCTTTCCACAAACTAACATCAGACGTTTCTGATTTCTAAAACGTATAATGTTTAAAAAGCACGAACAGGAAAGATCTGGATAAAGAAAATCATCTTTTATATGCTGCGGTCAGATATTGTAACTTTAAAGATTTCATTTGAACATATCACAAATTGAGTTTGAAATCTTGGAGCCGAAAAGTAATATGATGGCTCTAGTTTGGAATAACATTTAAAGCTTTTAGGCAAATACCTAAAATTATTGCCCATACTTACTGTATTATTGATGAAATCGAGCTAATTTTGCTGGAACGATTGTGTTAAAAACATTCTTAAATAAAATAAATGTGTCTTGAAACAACAAAGAAGTGTGTAAAGGTTACTGCCAGCTGAGAAGTGATGAAGAGGATTTTATTGTTCGAATAGACGGTGGAGATCATAAAGACAATGAGGAGGGAAGGGAGGGATGAGGACAACCTTTTTAATTGAAAAATCAATTATAGAATTTAGAGTGTTTCTTCTGCATCACATCGAAAACTTTCTGCTTGTATTAATATTAATAATGTTTACTTTTTTGATTAACAAATTAATTAATTAATAAAATTAAAAAAAAACGTCAAAAAGATGAAGCTCATCTTTGGTCTGCCAGATGATCTTTGGTCCTATGAAGGAAATTGCGCCTAAGTGATAAACATTTGCATGAACTTACCATCTATTTTTGTTTAAGTGTATACACAAGGCAAACTATGAATAACTACCAAAGGATTTGAGAATTTGCATCTGAATTCAATAAATGGATTTTTAAAAAGATTTGTTAATATAGAAATATAAGTTACAGAAATTAACAGATGGCTTCACTTAAAATGTGTCAGCGTCTCAAAAGCAGAAGTACTTAGTGAAGAGGTTTTTGTCACAGTGTAAATCACTGTGATACACCCTGTTCAACAGAGCCGTCCCATGTTTGACAGTAATAGACGGCTGAGTCTCCCTCCTCGATGTTCTTTATGGTCAAACGATAATCTGAAGTTGACTGATGAGTAGATGTGAACTTTGCAGATGAGAAACCAGTGCCATATGTGGGAGATTTGCTGGTGTGATAAAAAATTAATACAAACTGAGGAACTCCTCCTGGAATCTGTTTATACCAGCGAGCAGGACTTCCAGTAACAGTCCCGAGGTTACAGTCTATGGAGACTGTCTCTCCTGTCGTCACGGCTACAACAGGCTTCTGTGTCACCACCGTCACACCACTCACACCTGGAAACAACAAGACGACATGGAGTCAAAAGAAACACACACACTGATGAGTCCAACATGAAGTCCAAGCTGCAGGAAGTCAGCCTCCTCACATGTGAGAGCAGTGATGAGAGTGCAGAGGGTCCCCAGCATGGTGTCAGTGTGTGATGAGAATGGCCTTGTGACTTGGAAAGAGACCTGACTGCTGCCAGATTAGAGGCTTTGGAGGATGAGGAGAGGAGGTGCTGGGGGAGACATTTAATACGACACTGAAGCTGGGAGTGACTGACAGGGGGAGGAGCTTAGCTTCAACCTGCATGTTTCTCACAGTTGTGTTATTCGTCAGCATTATTATCAGTGTAGGTTATTTCCCTCAACACCTTTGCAAAGAAGTGATGCAAAAAGATTTCCTGCAGTTTTGTAGTTTTACAGTTCCAATTGATTGTAATTCATGGCTTACATCCAATTGCGTACATTTAGAGGAATACTCTTTTTTCACTTTGCAAAAGACTGCTTTTCTCACACATAAAAAAGCAATTGATAATAATCTACATCAGAGTGTTTCCAGTCATGCACAGGATGAGAACTGAGACTTAACCTCTTCATTTGCATGAGGTTAAATAAAGACAGGAGGCCTGCAGGTGCATCCTGCACATCAGAAAGGGTTGAAAAATGAACCGTGACTTCCACTGAAATCTAGTGTTGCTATTCTCATTTTCAAATGTGCGTGATACATTTTTTAAGTGATTCAAATCTGAAACAGTTCCCTCTTTGTTTTTTCCAACAGCGATCCAGTGCTGCTCTCTACCGTCAAAAGAGTAACAACACATAATCTCAAAGTAAAACACATTCATGTTTCATCTTAGAAATGCATGACATTTTTTTTGTTAGTAATACTTGTGATATGGTTCTAATGGTATGCAGCAAATGTAATGCTGAATTTGACTGTGTTAGTATGACAATGTCTGTCTAAAGAATGCATACATATATTCTCCAATATCTAGAATCTGAGTTGTTGGAGTCAATTGCAATAAATATAGTTTGCACAAATCTACCGAACCCATCAGATTAAAAAAAAAGGCTCACAGAAGCAGCATGATTGAGAGGGATACATAACATTGGGCCACAGCAAAATCAACACTTAACGTTGCGGTAAACTGCCTTCTTTTTTTTTTTACGTGACGCCTGCGCAGCCTGCCCTTCCGCACCTGTCCGTTGTCCCCCCCTCCTCCCCCTCCTTTTCAGTTCAGCTCTTCTGCTAGTCACCTGACCACCATCTACTTCTTTAACGCAGTTGACACCGGGCATGTTTCATTTGGTTATGATGGGGGACACAATGCTGTCCCATTGACCCCGATGTATATTAAAGCACAAGGAATGCACAGCAAACACAGAAAAGCCACGCGCGCACGCTCTCTATCAGGATTCCTCTTGAAATGCATTGATGCATCATTTGGATGGAAAAAGCAGGGACTCTAGGTCCTTTTTTTCTTCAAAATAAAAGCCAAACAGTCCACTTGGACGCAAATTGGATTTTATTTTGAAGGCTGTGACAGGATAAATGCTGGTACCCTTTGTGCTGCTTGACACTGGTGCAAGATGTCGTTCATTCTTTCTGGACCGAAGCTGAATCCCAAATGCGCATCGCTGACCGAGGCATCTTTTTTAAAAAGGGACAAGCTTCTCCCCCCTAAAACCGGCATTTGACATGTGGCGCGGGACAAGGAACAACAACCCGAGCTTTATTCTGGAAGGAACACTAATTGGAAATCGTCAAATTAATGGAGCGGTTAAGATTTTTGCATTGTGTTGAATAGGTGTAAATAACGGTCGAGCGGGTAGGCAGGCTACTCTTACCTCGTGCATGATAACAGGCAAATGAGACGATAGGATGTTGTCAAGCAAACAGATGTGAAATGAATGCCAACATCTGTCTCCAAATCTCTTCAAGCTGAAACTGGAGCGGGATTTTTAGGGCGCTCTCTATGAGGTGCGATAGAATAAAATCACCGCGGCTACTACAGGTCACTCGAATCTCTGAAGCAGAGTCAGGAATTTATTATTGACCCTATTTTTGTGTATGTTTAGACTTTTGCTGCTTCTGCAACGCACCGAGGAGGATGTGCTTTGCCCTACATGTGATTGTCATGTCTTCGGCATTTTTCAATCCCAGTTTTGCCTTCAGCTCCCACTTTGATACAGGTAAGGGTTGATCTAATAATTGGCTTAAATGAGGGCGTTTATCCATTTGCTGCAGACCTCTCCTGGTGATCTATGTCTCTTCATGATCACGCTGAATGATCTCGGGAATCTGGTGTTTGTTGCAAGGGCACACACTGTGTCTTGGTGCTATATATAGTATGTTAGTCACAAGCAGCTGCATCATTGACATAACATCATCGCGTCATTAGAAGATTTACATCCGATCAGTCCCTTACAACTTGGTTACAAGAGGCTTTTACACGACTGTCTGCATAGATTCTGCCCAGTCCTAAACAGACGTCCCTGCAGCAGAGTGTGCGCTGTGTGCCATGGACACGGTGTACAACGTTACAGCGGTGACCTGCTGATGCAGGTGTGTGGCTGTACTGCTTGCAGCGGTGAGTCGTCCTCCAGGCATGCCAGGGTGATGGGGAAGGAGAACCCAGCCGCCGCTGTCGCAGTGCTGTGGGACCACAGAGCAGGAAGTCACGGCTGTCCCGCGTGAGGACGTGAATTAGAGCAGATTAAATGACTGTGTCCTGGTGTAAACAGGACTGACAAAGTCCCTGAACTGAGCGCAGTGTGCCAGGCATACAAATGACGGTGAGCCAGAGAGCTTTCAAGTGTCAAGCTCTCATCTGTCCTCCCCCCCAAAGAGGACACTCACAGTGATCCCTCTTCATCCAACCATACCCATATCTATCTTCACATGACTCAAGTTCTCATTATTTGCATCTCTGCTGCCCCCCCACACTCCCTCTCTGAATGTGACAGAAAAGGGAGCTTCTATTTAAAGTCCAGAAGGGTATTTACATCCCTGTGCATTTGGGAAGTTTCTGTGCAAGGACGTTATGGAACGAAATAAGAGACTATTTTGACTGACAACGAGCATGAAGGTACATTTCGTGAAGCTCCATAGCAAGACAACAAGGAAGCAGATCAATAAGTAGATCACCACAGCCCTGGTATACATAGATCTGATAGGAAGTGGCGAATGAAGGATGTGTTCTTAAAAAACAACGGCCCTGTTCTCTGCAAGGAGAAATAGCGATTG